CCACATCCCCCCCACACCCATCCACACACCCTCTCTTTCATTCACTAACTCTCTCATTCATTCATTTTACTCACTCTCTCCTTCTATCTAATGATTATCGCTTTAAAATATTTAAATATATAAGATTTAAATGTATTATAAATATCACAAAAAGTGTCAAAAAATAAATCAATTAAAACTAGAATTGTAAATAATATTGAGAAAACTCGTCATTTGCCTAATTCTTGTGCTCTAATTCATAAAACCAATTAATTATTGGCTTAAGAAAAGAATGAATTATTGAATACAATATAAGAATTATTATAAATGAAACGAAAAAATAAATCGTGTATAATATCTGTCAGCAATTGTTGAAAATTTATGTTAACCTTATGTTATTTAATACAAATAAACAGCGTTATCGTATACAATAAAAATATAATTTATGATGCTAAATATTCTGTCATAAAAAATAGTATTTTGAATCAATTGAAACAGTAATGAGCGCGTAATGGGAGGCGTGTGAGAGGGTGTGTGGATGGGTGTGGGGGTGATGTGGGATACCTTCGCAGATGAATCCCTGTCCGATGAGTCCCCATAACATGTCTGTGCAGTGATGACAATAAGTGGGTTTGTGGAAGGTCTTCTTGGTGAAATAGTGTCCATGACCGAACTGGTCGTATTCGGGCAGCACTTCTGTGGTGGGACTGGGATTCTCAATGGTTCTGCCGCTCCAATTGGGTCGACCGCTTTGGGCCATTGTTGTCCACTTGCGTCTAAACCAACTGCTTAGCGCCTGAAGAGCCAGCGATCACTGCGAGACTGTTTAGCAAGTGTTGTGCGACACCACTGGTGGGTCCAAAACTATGTTGGATGTGGTGGTAGTGGTGGTGATGGGGGGCATCGCCGCGCACAGCACTCATAACACCGTAACTCATGCACTGTATGGACGTGTGGTCTGCCTGTGGCCCGAAATGGATGATGTGGTGAAGAAGTGGTAGTGATTGCGGATCAGTTGATTCACAGTAATAATATATCCATTAGAAGATGGCGACCACCGCTCTCTGTTGCCATTTGGCTCTCATATTCTCTCATATTCTGTGCATTTATTTTGTAAACTTATAGTCTGTCTGTTCTGTAAGGAATATACAGTCGATTCCACGCAATGCCAATAAAATAGCCCACTATTGCGCCCAATATAGCTGTATATAGTGTCTGTGCAAACCATACAGTCCTCTACTATGGTATACACAAAATACTTAAATTGTCACTTAAATGCTTGCCATTCATACACTTCGCGGATCGTATCATATATTATACACTATTCTGTATTCACTATTGTGTGTATCTTTAAGCCACACATCGCTATCTGAATGCATGATAACTGTATTGTAAGCGCATTCGCAATACTTCTTCTCAAATCATATTTCTGTTCAACAGCTGAACAATTGATTTCTTTTTCAATTTATTTGGCTTTATATTTATATTTATTACAAACTTTTTGCTATATTTACTATAATATTACATTTAAATATATTGTACTATAAAATTATATATTTTATAGTAATTATGAAAATTTTATTAATTAATTAATTTTCATTAAAAACATTTTTACGATATTCTTGTATTATATTATTTACTTCATTATAACATAATATCTGTTTTTATTTATTTTAACTTTTTAAATTATAGTAACGATATATTTATAAGAACTGAATATTAAATTTTTATGACCAAAACAAATCTCTAAATCAATATTCTTTAATAAGACTCATGAATTCAACACATGTTTAAAGTAAATGCAGAAAACAATTGAATTTTTATTCGTAAAATAAAAAATTAAAACAAATTTAAACTAAATTTCAATAAAAAATATCACAACAAACAAAATGATAAAACAATTGATTATAAAAACAAGTGACACATCAGTATTTGAACAATAAATACAAATTATTGAGTTGTATTTAAGACACAAATGCCTTCCTTAACCACCC